CACACACACACACACACACACACACACACACACACACACACACACACACACACACACACACAACACGAAGCCTTTGCACACACACTCAGTCCGAGGTGTCACCCTCGTCTTCGTCCAACTGCTTGCTGCAGTTGTCGGATTCGGGGTCATCGTCAACAATTTTTCTGCGAGGCTTGCACCGCTGTCTTTTTTTTTTTCGGCTTCGCAGCCGGACCGGCGGTTGTGTTCTTCCGAGGCCTGCCGAATGGAAGCTTAGGCTTCGCGTGCTCGTCTTCATGGGGCGCCTTCCTCTTCCTCCCAACCCTGCTGACCCACAGGTTGTCGTGTTGGGCTTCTGCATTGTTGACTGGGAAGTCGGGGGAATTCTCTGGTGACCCAGCTGCCTCCGGAGTTCGCTTCCGACGCTTGTACACGGTCGTCGGTGCATTCTTCTCCACCTCCTCCTCGCTGTTCTCCATCATTTCCTGCTCCTGCTCCTTCCCACTCTCCTCCAGGTCCTCTTCTTGCTGTTCCACGCCCTCCTCGTCACCCTCGTTCATCTCCTCCTCTCGCTGGTCCATGCCATCATCTTCTTCCTCCTCTTGTGTGTCCATGTTTTCTTCTTCCTGCGCTGGCTGGCCAATCTCCTGTTCTGCCTCCTCCTCTCGTTGGCCCAACGTGTCTTCTTTGTCCTCTTCCAGCCGGCCCGCACCCCCCACTGGCTGCGATTCTCGCTCTCCAACCCTCTTCTTCATTTTCTCCAACTCTCTGCAGGTCGGTATAGTTGCACGTCGCTCCTCCTCCCTCATTCTCCTTTGCACCCGTTCTCGATCCGCAACAGCCCATGCCTTTGCACGGTCGGCGTCCTCCTCATCCGTATCGATTGGACGTGCGCAAAGCACCATCTCCATGTCGGTGTCGGTCTGCGGCAGGTCAACATCCGATTGGATGTTGTAGTGCGTTGCGGTGTTCGCCGGGCATTGAGAAGGTGTTGTGGGCGGCTGTTCTCGACGGTGCTGTGCGGCTGCCCTCCTCCCGACGTATGTGGTGCACGGTATTGGAGGTGGGAGTCCCAACTCGAAGTCATCGTCCGATGACTCGTCAACCTCCTCTTCGCTGGACGCCTCCGACCATGGAGTCTTCCCCTTCCACACCTCGTCGTCAAGGTCGCAGTCGTCGGTTCGCTGCTCCTCCTCGTCCTCGTGTTCGAGGCATTTCGGAATCCGGCCCTTTGGTGTCTTCGTGAAGGCCCGTTCTTGCACCAGCTCCTCCTCCGTCTTGTCCTTCTCCTCCACGGGCTCATTCAAAGTAGAACCGTCGCCCGCCTTCGGCTCCGGCAAAGACTCGAAGAACTGCGCCCACAAATCGATGTAACCGTTGTCCTTCACGTTCTTCCCCGACCGCAGAAGTTGCATATTCCAATGAATATACACCAACTTCTCCAAGGTTGAAGGGTTCAACCTATTCCGCCGCTTCGAGTGGACCAAGTCCATAGAAGACCAATTCCGCTCCGCCGGAGTTGCAGTGCTCCACATGCCCATTACTTTGATTGCAATGGACTGCAGCTTCGGCACATCACCCCCATGAGTTGCCCACCACTCCGACGGCGAGATGAGGTGACAATCTGCGATAGCATCTTCTTCCCACATCTTCCGGTCCTTCCTCCGAGGGTTGTGGCCGATGGGTTTCGTGTGGAACTCTCGCAGATCACTTAGAATCTTCACGTGGGCATCCGATTTCCATGGACCGCCGATCTGCCGCTGTAAATAATTCAGCGCATTCTGCACAAGTGCACTGTCCCGATCCAACAACCACTTCGGCTCTCTCCGCCGTGGGTCCAAAAGAAAGGCCATGGCATGCACCGGTTGCCGCATCATCTTCATGCGGTCCCGCACCTTCTCGAGCACCGTGTCTCGCTGCTCCGTGGTAAGCAGCACCTCCCCCAGCATCCTCTCCATGAGCTTGTCGTACTCCATAAAGTTTCACGGTGCAGTCTCGTCCTTGTCCATCCTCCGAAGCAAGTTATACAACGGCTCCATCACCTCCACCACCTTTGTCAACTCCGGCCACCAACTCTCCCTCCGCAACGTGAAGAACACAAGATCTGCTTTGGATTGCAGTTTGATCGTCGACCACCGCATCGCCTTCCATCTCCTGACCATGCTCCCTTCGCCCATCTGCTTCAATACCGCCCTCCGATCGTACAACCGCTCCATCATCATGTACACTGACCCAAAACGGACCTCCGTCGGCCGCGTCAGCGACAATGAGTCGTCCAACGACATCATTAGACTGTGCGCGCAATGGTGGTTTCGTATGAACTTCACAATGGCGTGGCTCCGCTTGACCGTGCCCTTTATCCAATCCAACTTGCTGATGTCCCGGAGCAGCAAGGAGCAGCAGTGCGCAGCGCACAGAACCCAAGGTATCCGTGAAACCGCCAAGTCTGTGCGCCACTCCAAAATTTGAGCGGCCTTCTTGTTGACCTCCACATTGTTTGTGCAAATTGCGTTGATGCGTTGCAGCCCGATCTCCCTCATAATCTTTTCCCAAAGTCTGGCCAGCGCTGGCCCGGTCTTCTTTTTTCCGTCCATCGACATCGTTGCCACCGCTCCCTGCTCCGCCGCCGCCAAGAAGTTCATGACAGGCCTTTCCCTCCGATCTGTCGACCCGTCCGTGATGAAAGTGCACCCCGCGACATCCCAGCATGCGGTCAGAGGCTGCACTTGCTTTTGAATGCGCAGAAAGATGAAGTCAAGCATCACCGTCCGGATGTGCTTCGCTGAAGGCAATTTACCTTCGGTCATGCGGTGGCCACCTCCAAGTACACCTTGTGGAGTTTCATAGTAGTGTCGAAGTTCAGGAAATTGAACGCAATTCCCGCCCGGAACATTGCCTCCGCCCATGCAATGTCCAATTTCTGTTGGCCTGCATTGTCCACCCATCTCCTGATGGTCGTTTGCTGCACAGCAGTCGGCCTTGTAGTCGAATCACACTCTTCTCGGACCGCCTCCCCCGATGCACTTTCCTTTCCCCGCTCCACTGTGTCCTCGACCGGCTCCCTCCTTGCGGAAACCGGCGGTTGTGGCTCCTCGTAAGCACGACGAACTACCGCGTCACCATCACCAACTTTTGCTTGCCCCCCCCCCTCCGAGATGTTGTGCAGCTGCCGGTAATTCTGCAGCAAGTAGCGAGTTTTCTTGTCTGACGGCAACACCTTTGGCCCTTTGGCCACCAGCTGTATGCAACATCTCCCCCGTCCGAAAAGGGCACGACTTGAGCACCTTCATGAAATGCTCGACTGCCCGTGCGCGTGTGCCCCTCCAGATGGTCGAGCATAGCCGACACTTCAGCCAATACTCTCCCCGACCCTTTGGCACAACCTCCTGCCCTTGTTCGACGTGCTTCCATACCTCCTTCTCGCCCTGCAACTTCTTTTGCCTCGCTTCATCCTGCGGGACGAACAACGAGGGGTCGCTGGCCGGTGTGGGTTCTTTACAAGTCACCCCCGACGAAAGGTGTGCTCGAGCTGGCAATATTCTTCCTGCTTCCCTCTCCCCTTTTCAATTGTCCCCGACTTCCTTCTCCACCAATCGAATCCTTTCCCCTGCTCCCACCAGCCATGGCGCTCCAACAAACTCCTACCTGCACCTGCAATTCTCGCCCGACACCTCCAATTACGAGAAGAAGAAGAAGAAGAAGAAGAAGAAGAAGAAGGAGAAAGAAGGAGGAGGAGGAAGAAGGAGGAAGAAGGAAGGAGGAGGAAGGAGGAGAAAGAAGAAGGATGATGGAGGAGGAGGAAGAAGGGATGGATGACGAGATGGGATGGAGGGATGGACGGCGAGATGTGATGGAAGGAGGAGGAAGAAGGAGGAGGAAGGGATGGATGGATAGCAAGATGGGATGGAGGGATGGATGGCGAGATGTGATGAAAGGAGGAAGAAGGAGGAAGAAGGGATGGATGGCGAGATGGGATGGTGGGATGGATGGCGAGATGGGATGGTGGGATGGATGGCGGGATGGGATGGGATGGATGGCGAGATGTGACGGGAGGAGGAGGAGGAAGGAGGAGGAGGAAGAAGGGGGAGGAAGAACAAGGAGTAAGAAGGAAGAGGAAGAAAGGGGGGGGAAGAAGGAGGAGGAAGGAGGAGGAAGAAGGAGGAGGGAGAAGGAGGAGGAAGGAGGAGGAGGAAGAAGAAGGAAGAAGAAGGAGGAAGGAGGAGGAAGGAGGAGGAAGGAGGAGGAAGAAGGAGGACGAAGGAGGAGGAGGAAGAAGAAGAAAGAAGAAGGAGGAAGGAGGAGGAAGGAGGAGGAAGGAGGAGGACGAAGGAGGAGGAGGAAGAAGGGGTGGATGGAAAGATGGGATGGTGGGATGGGTGGCGAGATGGGATGGTGGGATGGATGGCGAGATGGGATGGTGGGATGGATGGCGAGATGGGATGGTGGGATGGATGGCGAGATGGGATGGTGGGATGGATGGCGAGGTGCGATGGAAGAGAAAGGAGGAAGAAGGAGGAGGAAGAAGAAGGAGGAAGAAGGAGGAAGGAGGAGGAAGGAGGAGGAAGAAGAAGGAGGAAGAAGGACGAGGACAGAGGAGGAGGAAGAAGGGATGGATGGGGAGATGGGATGGATGGATGGCAAGATGTGATGGAAGAAGGAAGGAGGAGGAGGCAGTAGAAGGAGGGGGAAGGAGGAGGACGACGAAGGAGGAAGAAGAAGAAGGAAGAAGAAGAATGAAGGAGGAGGAAGGAGGAGGAAGGAGGAGGAGGAAGAAGGAGGGCGAAGATTGATTGACGAATGAAGGGGGGGGGGGAAGATTGATTGATTGACGGATGAAGGAGGAGGAAGAAGAAGAAGAAGAAGAAGAAGAAGAAGAAGAAGAAGAAGAGAAGAGGAGCGGAGGAGGGGGAGGAGGACGGCCTTTTGTTTTTTTTTTTCGTTCGCCGTTCGCGACAACTGCCTAAGGTCGTCAAAGATGTGCCCTGCAAAAGGCCGAAGAAGATAAAGATCGCCGTTAACTGCCGAAGGTCGACTGATGCAAGAAGAAGAAGAAGAAGACGAAGAAGAAGAAGAAGAAGAAGAAGAAGAAGAAGAAAATGAAGAAGAAGAAGGAGAAGAAGAGGAGGGACAAAGGGGAAGACGAAGAAGAAGAAANGAAGAAGAAGAAAATGAAGAAGAAGAAGGAGAAGAAGAGGAGGGACAAAGGGGAAGACGAAGAAGAAGAAAGATTGTGGAGGAAGAAGAAGAAGAGAAGCGGAGCGGAGGAGGGGGAGGAGGACGGCCTTTTTTTTTTTTCCGTTCGCCGTTCGTGACAACTGCCTAAGGTCGCCGAAGATGTGCCCTGCCCCAAACAGCCAAAAGGCCGAAGAAGATAAAGATCGTCGTTAACTGTCGAAGGTCGACTTATGCAAGAAGAAGAAGAAGAAGAAGAAGAAGAGGAGGAGGGGGGGACAAGGGGGAAGACGACGAAGCAGAAGAAAGATTGTGGGGGAAGAAGAAGAAGAAGAAGAAGACGAGGGGAAGGTTCGACGTGCTTGACGGCCTCCCTTCTGTTTTTCTTACCTTCCGAGCCTCGCGCGACCTAACCAACGTCCACCGTACACAAGCAGAAGAAGAAGAAGAAGAAGAAGAAGAAGAAGAAGAAGAAGAAGAAGAAGAAGAAGAAGAAGAAGAAGAAGAATGGCGGCAGCTCCTGCAAACAGCGACGGGCGACGACGACCGGCTCCAACTGACGATGACGACGGGCGGCGGGCGAGGAAGACGAGCTCCTGCGAACGGCGACGATGAATGACGGGCAAAAGGGGCAGCTCCAGCGAACAGCAACGGGCGGTGCAACTTCGAAATTCTGCGGGTCGAAGGGGGCAGCTCCAGCGAACACCCACGGACGGTCTGCGGGCAAGATTGCCACCAATCAAATCTGGGCGGGAAACTTGCGACGGCTCTGTGGCCATCGATCAAGGCAGATCGACGGCCATAAACCCGCCACAATTTTCAAACCCACTCCCCCAGGCCTATCGGGCCCGATGCCGAGGGTTTTCGGCCTGGTTGGACCCGGTAGGCCTGCGGGAGCCCACCACAGTTCGAAATGGGGTCTAAAAACCCCGAAATGCCCTGTGCGTTGGGGGGGCCCGGGGACCGACCGGGTGCACTGCCCGGCCAGGCCGCCCGGGACCCCACCCGGGCCCCCGCCGGGCGGCCCGGAACCCCACCTAGGTGTGTGTCCATTACTTTGTGCTTGTTTTTTCTTTTTTGATTCCATGTTCTGACTTTCCTCACGTTGTCTAGGTTAAATTCTAAAGTTGTTATGCTCTCCTCTTTGATTTCTACTAATGATTTGTGTTTATTTATTAGCTCGTGTACTTGAAACTCCGTGATATCGCTAAGGGTGTCTACTTTCTTCGGGCATTTGAGGGCTACTGAGGGTGTTGGTTGGTGTCTGTCTGTTGCCCAGTCCCCTACTTCCCATTTGGTTTCATTCTTCATTAGGGCTCTCCATTCTAGCGGTATGCTATCTATCATTTCCTCTAAGATTCTTTTCGAGATTGTGTGCTCCCTTCGGTTGGTGTCTCAGTTCTGAGGTTGTCTTCCATCTTCGCTCTTCATCTAGCCAGATGTGCCCTATCTTCCAAATTCCTTTCTCTATCCATTTTCTCCATCTCCTACCTCTGGTTGCTAGGGACCATGGTTTGCCAGTAGCATCCTTGATCAGGGGATTTTCGAATAGAGGTTGTCTCAGCACTTCTTCTTTTTTCTTTGGCTTCCTAACCTTTTCCGGGAGTGCTTCACGCCAGTGTTTGATTAGTGTTCTCTAGTGGCTGTTCGAGGGATCCGTGCTGCTCAGATGATTACTGTTAGTTCTTCCATTTACCTTTCTTGGGGTCCATGATGCGTTCATGAGCCAGTGGTATGGTCTACTTTGAAAGGTACTAGGTTACGAATCTGGTAGAGAGCCATGTCATGCCAGGGAAGTTCCTTATGAAAGAGTATTCTTGTGATCCATTTTGTTTGTAGAGCTTTGTACTCATTTACCGGGTTTAGCAGTCTTAGACCTCCCTTTTATCGGTCTGGTTATGTATTTCCATGTGAGTTTCGGTATATACTTGTCCTTCGATGCATCACCTGTCCATAGATATGAACTTGCCTTTTTCTTTAGTGTTGATATGAATTGGGGGGTGGGTCCCATACAGAGGCTGTGTACCATCCCATGGAAAAAATCATGTGTTTAAGGCTAGGGCTCTACCTTCGAGTGAGGTATTAACTTTCTGCCATTTTGTCATTCAATTGACTATTTTCGCTAATATGCTTGGACCTGTGCTTTCGCTAATGCCCTCCGCTGATACTGTGATTCCCAGGAATCTCATGGGTTCCTGAGTGTTTATCCATTCCAGGCCTTGTATGTCTGTGCTGGCTTGGGGGGTTGGTTGTGAAGACAACCACCATCCAACTGTTTTTGACCAGTTAATCTTCATTTCTGAGGCTAACTGGAATGCTTGCATTGCCCTTGTTAAGGCTTGAAATGATGTATCTGTGGCTCTGATTATGACTGTGAGGTCATCTGCGAACAGCATTACCGTGGGGAAAGAGATAAGCTTGTCTGTGTTCTCTATGATGAGTCTATCTATCGATGGGTCCTTGCGAAGGAAGGCTGCTATTGCTTCCATCGCGAAAAGAAAGATTGGTGTTGCTAATGGGTCTCCTGTCTTACTAATCTAGTCATTTTGTACGTGTCTTACAGGTGTTCGTTTACTTGTACTAATCCGTGTGCATCCTCATACAATACCTTAACCCATCTTCTGAAGTTTGGGCCTATGCCCATTTTTTCCATACTAAGTTGTAGAAAATCCCAGTTTACTTGGTCATATGCTTTTTCAAAATCGAAAAGAGTATGGCCGCCTGCAGCCTTTTATCTCCAATCAATCTAATGGCTTCGTTCAAACAAACTACATTGTCTAGTATGTATCTGCCAGGAATGAAGCCTGTTTGGTTTATGTGAAAACATTTGTATGTGACGTTCTTTATTCGGTTAGCTAGGGTTTTTGCTAGGATTTTGTATGTTACTGGTAGCAGTGTAATAGGTTTAAAGTTCTTTATGTTTTCTCGTTCCCCTTTCTTGTAAAGCAGAGTGACTATACCCGTGCTTATGTTTTTTCCTAATGTGCCTCTTTCAAAAGTTTTTCGGAAGAAATTGTATAGATCCTCGCCCATCACTTGCCAATTCTCTATCCAGAATTCTTTGAATAGTTCGTCTTTTCCCGACACTTTATCCGGTTGCATGCTTCTCAATGCTTCAAAGAGCGCTTGGTTTGTAATGTTTTTGTCTAAGTATGCCGTTGCTTCCGGTTTTACACTCGCATCTAGGTGCTTTAGGAACTTACCTCTTGCTCTGTTTACCTCTATTTGATTAAAATGTGTTGCTCTCGAAGTGTATAGATTTTGACAAAATTTTGTTGCTATTCCAAGGATTCCCTCTTGGTTAGTAATCAATGAGCCTTGGATGTTTTTGAGCCCTTGGATTCTGCTGTTTCTGCTGTTCGACTTGATTTTCTGAAAGAAGTACTTAGTCATGGATTCATTGCTTTCCCAGTCCTTCACCTAGTCATGGATTCATTGCTTTCCCAATCCTTCACTTAGTCATGGATTCATTGCTTTCCTCGTACGGCGGGCTCGATGTTGGTCCCCATGATTGAGGACTGGCTCACTGGTTGAGTTTCCAACACCTCGAAGTAAGCTCTCATGGAGCTGATCCAGGACTCACCATCTTCCTTGCCGTTGTACTTAGATGGTACGGGGACCGCCTTCTTGTCCACATAGGGACTGCCATGGCTGGTACCAGCAATTGCTGTGTCCGAACTCGAGACCGCAGCAGTTGCAGAATTCCCTGCGCAATCGCTTGTTGTAGCGGCAGCGGGGTCTGCACCTACTGGAGGTCCCGATAGAACCACACTTTGAGGAGTGGAGGTATGGAGAGGAGTGAGGACAGACTAGTTAGCAGCATTGGGGGTAAAAGGTTGAGGAAGAGGATTAGGAATCCGATCCTTTTGCAGATTTGTCATCTGCCGCATTTGATCACTGTGCTCCTTGGCCATTTCTGCCATGTCTGCCCGAAGTTCACTAATCTCCGCAGAAAGTTTGGTGATTTGTTCAGGGACGTGACTGAGTAGGTGACAGTCTATAAGAGCATGTACATATGCGACTATCTCCTTCTTGACCTCAGTGTCAGGCAAGGAGGGGATTGTTTTGAGGACAGCCTCATAGTCTGCAACAATGGGTTTCCGCTTTTCCTCCTCGGCTTTCTCTTCCCTTGCCAGTGCCTTTTCGTAGAGAGCTTGGGACAATGGTTTATCCTCCTCTATGGCTGCATCCAGTTGGGCCACATAAGCCTTTACATCGCCCATTTTCGCAAGTCCCTCAAGATGGGAGCTTTCACTCTCTCTTCTCTCTCTCTCTTCCTTTTGTCTACGATTCTCTACTAGCATCAAAATATGAACTCAGGAAAAGAAACGAACTGAATAGCTCAAAGAAGAGAAGGTAGAACTCCTAGCCGGAGCAACATTACTTCTAGATTAGAGAGCAACAAACAACAAAAAAGAAAAACAATTTCACATGAGAGGTCTGATCCAGCGACTCGGTCTGATTAGACTACATACGAGGTCCTCTTCGAGTCCAATCTGACCAGCTCCGTGACCGTACAACAAATCAGACAACGAGTGACGAAATGCAACAATGGAGAATTGAGTAGTGTATAGGGTGCGAGTCAAGGCACGGACGGTGCAATCAAAAGCATGCGAAATGTCTCAGCCAAGATCCCCTCGCCGGATCTCATTCAGGAAGAGAATGAACTAATGTCTAACAGATTCGGGTCCAAGGGCTCTTCTTGTTTGGGCTCGGTCCCACTGGGTCCCCAGGTGTCCCACGTAGGTCGTGACCGCGTCCCAACCAAGAGGAGTCCCACTTGGACTAAGTTTCTGCCTCTACCATCCTGGGATTTGATCGGAGAACCAAGGGTTCTGACACCGGGCG